TCTTTTATAGTTTAACTTGACAATTTCTTAGATGAGTACAATCACAGTTCACAATTCTAGAATAACCACCTTAGATAATACAATCTTATGAAAACAACACTAATGAAGCACCCAAATTACAATTATGTACATGTTTCCTATGAGGGTGTGCATGTGCAGATTAAGAAAAATATAAGGATTAAGGAGAGAGCTTACTTGGCACACAGTTTTGATGAGCAAAAATCCCGTCAATAAATTCCAGGTGGAGATGTCCAATCGATCGGGTCTAGACATGCGTATATATCAACATGCTATACTACAACACAAAGAGTTCGGTTTGTCCTTCACATGACAACATATGCTCACCATGTATTTATTCCTTGCAGAGAGAAGGATATCAAACCATCTTGTATATGCTCCAATTATCGCTATCACTATACTTTTTATATTGTAGTAATTAGAACCCCACTTTTAAATCTAGAAGCAAGTGACCACTATCACAAAACATCATATTGTAAAAAGTAAAAACTTATATGCAATCATGAGGTTATTTCACTCAAAAGAAACCATGTTTTATATGTTGAAGATCAACATTGTAGCTTGAATAGTTTAATTCGACAATGATCTTAGCTCTTACATATAAATTTTGTGTAAAAGTGGTATGATTGAAGTTATTCCCTATGTTCACACTAATAAGAATAGTCTTTGTTTAGTGGAAACTAACCACAAAAACATTTCAAATTAGAAAAATGATGATACTGAAAAATAGTATCATAACAAAAGCACCAAAAAGTATAGCTATTTATCTTTAATCAACTCAAACGTCAACCTAGAAGATCAACCAAATGAACTGATGTTAAGAGATCACACATTATTGTCAAAGAAGCTAGTCAACTCTCCAAGCAAGAACACTCAACCTTTCCATATTTACCCCTGCGAAAATTGCTTTGTGTAACAATATAGGTGGAGGAGGTTAGGCGGTTGTTGGGTCCGATGGAAATGTTTGGAGAGACGACGATGGTTGAGCGTTTAGTATACCGAGAGACCGGGACACTGTTTATCTTTAATCAACTCAAAGTCAACCTAGAAGATCATCCAAATGAAATGATGTTAAGAGATCACACATTACTGTCAAAGAAGCTAGTCAGCTCTCCAAGCAAGAACACTCAACCTTTCATATTTACCCCTGAGAAAATTGCTTTGCATAACAATATAAATGGAGGAGGTTAGGCGGTTGTCGTGTCCGGTGGGAAGGTTTGGAGGTGGTGGTTGAGCGTTTAGTATGTTGGGACACCATTTAGACCCATTTACATTAGTTACACCTTTTCAACCTTCATTCGACAAACCAACATCACTCAACCTTTTCATATTTACCCGTCTCTTAAAGACACATACGCCTTATATTCACTCAAAACTTCTATGTTCAAAAACATTGTTGCTTTATGGTAGTTATATTATTTAAGTCTACGTCAAGAATTCTGCATTGCTTCTACACATTCAATACTGCAATTCGATGTGCAATATTTGTACTAATGATAATAGGCTTGCGATTTTAAAATTATTCTCCTTTATAAGATAAATAGAAATATAATTAATTATTAAACTCGAATTAAAATAATCAAAGTAAGAAAATAGAAGTATCAAATACCAAAAAAAATATTTAGGGGAGAGTTAGTGGCTTAGCTAACAATGATGAAAAATTTCTATGATTTTTCAGATTTAAGCTTACTGTATGTTTTAATTTAAAATGTTTAAATAAATTTGTTTAGTGTAACTGATTTTGTTTCTTGTCTTTTCTCAAAGAGATCACAATTCAAATTTCATCACTTATATATTTTTCCCTGTGAATAAGAAAATAATAAATGACTGTGAAGACCCTTCCTACTTTCACTCTGGATGCAAGAAATTTGAAATGGCTCTTCAAGTTTTTTCATTTGACTTTTATTTATTGGGTAGGTAAGTAGAATAAGCAAATTAAATAATAAATTGAAAATAAAATACATTAATCATAAATAATGATGAGTACTTAAGTCCGAAAATCCAAACATTAGTAATCTGGATTACGTGTGATTGTGAGGCCTGAGTTGACGTTAACCCCCAATTGACTACTCTGCTTTTAGCTAATATTGTGGCCGGAGTAGGTTTGTGGAGGAGATAGCGCAGCGAGTAGTGCCGGCTAGGGGTGGAAATTAGGGTGGGTGTGGTTACTCGCCCCATATTTTGCGGGTACCCACACTCACAAATTTACAATTGCTATCCACAAACCGTACCACAGTGGTTAGTGGGTAACCACTACCCAATGTGGGTTTGTGCAGGTTGGGTGTGGTTACTCGCAAAAATCCATCTTTGCAAGCATAGAGTTCTAGTCGCCACTAACGTATTTGTTGTTCGTAACTAGACTATAGTGATATATACTTGTGTTGTTCGTGGAGATACAACTTTGTAAATCGATCTTACTCAACGTGAAGATTTTTTCTTTTTGAGTTTGGTATTCAACTTTTGTGCCAGAGAGCTGTGATTTCATATTTCCCCGACTAAGGGTGAAATATGACAATTAAATATGATCTTGTATTTTTTTCACACGAAAGCAAAAACATACTGATAAAAGTTACAAAAGGTGTTCACTTTTAATGAATTTATTATTCTCCACTCTATCGATTATAGTGTTTTATAAACTAAAAAATTCTTACATAAAACTGATTAGGTGTCTTTTTTATTTGGTGGCTACTTTAATTTTTATCCTCACACTTTTCACATACTATTATATTATAAAGTTAATTCACTAAATAAATATAATTAGTGTGGTTATTGTAGATTTTGTTGGTTAACCGCGGTGGGTAGTGGATAACCACTAACCACAAAAATCGTTATTTTACTACCCACACCCAACCCACTACCCACAACTTGTGGGTATTGTTACCCACAATAGGTGCGGGTTGGTGCGGTTTGCGGATTATCCACACCCCGCAACCCAAACTTCCACTCCTAGTACCGGCGACGGTAACCAGTTACTTTTTATTATTATAAGGAAGTTGTTTGTTATAGTAGCATATCTCTTAACAATAAAAAAGAAAAAAGGATAAATAGGTAATTTCCTCTATTAATTAGGGTGATTATGGTAAAAGTTAGGGTGACAATTAGCAAATTTTTTTAAGGGTGGGTAGGTTTGTGATATTTTTCAAATAAAATATAAATTTTTTTTATTTTTCATAAGTTAGCTAAAACTTAGAATAAATCATATATATTAGGGTCAGACTCGTATGCTCCTGACGCATGGTATATGTCAGGTCCTCCACAGCGTTGATCTAATCGAACGGTGTTAATTAATTTTGATTAAATTATTTATTTATTACCATGTATAAATAATTAAAATGTTCAATTACTTTTTTATACATACTCATTAATCCATAAACAAATTTTTTCATATAATTTCAAAGCGTCGTACCTAATAATCTTTTAATCATCACTTGAACACCCTTTTTTTTGTAATTGTATCTTCATCAAACTACTTAATTTTAATTTTTTCCTTTGTTGGTAGATGTAATCCTAGAGCCCTAGTAACAACTCCATCCCCTGTCCCTTTTGTCGTTCATCGGGTAGTGACGAACCCTCTCCCCTCTTACTGTGATTATCGTAACAACTCCACATCCTCTAGCTCGTTTATTTTCCACAGCCCAACCCCATCCATGTCATAGCTCCGCCACTGCTCTATTCTTTTCAACGACGTCGTTTTTTTCATTTAACCTGAAACACAAAAAGGCTCGTCGTCACTCCTCTTCTTCCCCGTTATCTCCCTCTGCAGACTGCAGTTTCGCCGTTTCGATTCTCAATTACGGCCACGAGAATCCAACCGACGAGACGCCCGCTCCTCTCTTCATTGCTCCTAGTTGCCACCGCCAACATCGTAGTCCCACCACTATTTCTCTTCTCCGGCAACCCAACTTCACCATCCCAATCATATCGGCGAAGGCATTATAATCCCACCGCCGTCTCTTCTCCGGCAACCCCGCGTTCAGTATAGACCCACATCCCACCGAAACCCCCATCCCTGATAGCTATCGAACAATGGACGAAATAAGCTCTTCCCTCTCCAGTCAATTATTCGAGTCAAATTGATTCCCTTGGTGATGACGGAGTAATTAGGGGTTGTTAGGTTCCTTGATGACGATGGTGAAATTAGGGTAGCATTGAGTGATGAACTGATGATGTTATTATGTGGAGATGGTTTCTATTGATGATGATGGCCTTTCATAATGGAGTCCGTATCATATTGATGAGGACGTTTGCTTGATTGTTTTCTGGGTTAAAGATCGATCCATCTTCATAAATTTAATGGACAAACAATGGTGAATTATATATAATTTTTTGGGCTGAATAATAAGTCTCTAAAAAATAAGGTATTATAATAGAAAATGTAATAATAAACATTATTGAGGGATTATTTTGCACGTATAATCATTTAAATGGTGGTGTTAGTAATTATAATTATTAGTAAATAAATAATTTTATTATAATTAATATACACCATCCGATTAAATCAACGGTCCAGAAGTCTGACACATGCTATGTATCAGAAGCATACGAGTCGTATCCTATATATTAACCTATTTGGCAGCAATTTGTTTCAAACCCCATACTGCTTGGGAAGAGTCAAGTAGGCCATTCCATAATCCATACTACTGTAATTCATACTAATTCCCACAATTTTGGAACTTTTATCATTTCCATAATAACAATATTGGAGACAAAAATTGGTGTACTGTAATCATAACAATTCCCACAATTTTTGAACTTTTATCATTCCATAAAATAATAATTGGAGACTAATTGGTGTGATTTCGAACTTCTAGCCCCTCTCCATGTCTGGCATCAAAGACAGTTAATTTCCCACCTCCACTATCGTCATCAATACACACACACCTGCTGCTGACTGCTGTTGGAGGTTTCCATCATTTCAATGGCTTCTCAGCATTTTCCTTTTAGCGGGTTGGGAGGTAGGAGAGGCAGCTAGACATGGAATCTCAGCAAACACTGGGGTAACATTCAGTAGACATCTTGAAGGCCGGAATGTCTCCGATGGCTTGTTCGGAAACCGGTCGCCCTTTGAGCTCCTCCATGTCAGCATTGCAACCCCACACTCGAACTGCAAGCCTCCTACATTTAGGGGACGACTGAATCAAATAAGTCCTCAACAAATTGGCCACGTCGTTTTTGGTAATAGCCTTCAGTTCCTCCGCTTCCTTCAGCGAGAAGTCGAACACATATCTGGAGGGATCAGAAACAACAATGATTTCAGGTCAGTGCAAGTCCTCCTCTACACCCGAGGGTGGTGTTAGTTATGGCTAAGTGGGAAAGGCCCATACGAAGGATGGTAATTTTCATCCATCCATTATGCATAGTACTATCTATACCTTTTGTCAATAATCTGACCCCACAAGCGATTGGTCTCGTCATGGAGAGAAGGATCCTTTTCAAGTAGTTTACCCAACAACCCGTTCTTGTAGCTCTCGAAAGATGCTTCGTCAAGCCCTTCCTGCAATTTTTCAGCAGTTCACAAATCAGCAACAGATCATATACATGCCGAAGCGAGAGTTTTCTTAGAAGAATGTAACTTCATACATAACACATAGTTACTGAGCAACGATGTACTAACCAACAATTCCTCGAGGCCATTTATGAACCCCTCCACTCTCTCTTGCAAATAAACTGGGTTGTACTTGGCAGATTGAAGAACAAAGCAAAATCCATAAATACGATATGTAACTCGAGGACTGCACTGAACAACATAACCAAGTTGCTCCTTAGTCCTACATTTGGAAAACAAAAGGATTCTTCATCAGCCATTTTTACCAGAAGGGAAAGAAAAAAGAACGGTGCTATCACAAAGGAAGTCAAGCCACCTTAGCTGATTGAAAAGTGGTTCTTCCACAATCTCATCAAAAAGGTCAATCAGTGCTTTCAATTTGAATGCTTCCGACCCTTCAGGCTCAATTTGGAAATAAAGCTGGATAAAAACAATAATGAAAGTGAGAAACGAAAGGTTTAACTTTCACTGAAATCAATCACACAGGAACCAACTAACTGATTTTAGATACCTCAAGAACTGAGTTTGTCTCGGATTTATTCTTCACATTCACATCTCTGACGAGATTGGCACCAGCAGGAAGACAGACCACATACTCTTTATGTCGCATGTCTACGGGAAGTGGTTGCACAGGGAAGTTGGTTCTAAAAATATTTGCTATGCCAAGTGCTTCTTCTTCTAACAAATTTCCATGACATAGACCCTCAACATAGAGCTGTTCAATAGAGCAGAGTATGTTAGAACTACATGCTGCGTGTACGTGTGCTGTATAGGGTGAGAATGGTATGTATAAATTGATTTCAAGGAGTTCTTCCTACAAACCTGGGAAAGCAACTCTGGAATAAATGCTTTCAAATCGTCTAGAGATAGGTGATGGAGAACATCTTGCTTCTCTTGTACGTCATAGAATTTCTTACAAAGAACCTGGAGTCTCACATAGGAAGAATGATTGAGAGGCTTCATGTTGGCATTTTTAAGCCCTCTCTCGACATCCTCTTTGATAACCTGTTACACATCCACTCAAATGTAAGAAGCTCAGGATATTCTCAACTTTGTGACATAGGACACTGGAATATGCAATAAAGCGGGGAAATCACAATGGTAAACCTGTTTCATAGAAGATAGTAAACATGTACCTTAAATCGATCATCTGTGGGGATGAAAGATTTGGCTATCATCAAAACTTTCGACAGTAAAGCTGAGACCTTGTCATTGAACCCATAAACCTTCAGCTCCAATTTGTCACCAACGAAAGATACAGATGTCTCCAACTTGGCAACACTAGCCTGTACGTAGTAAAAGATTGATAAGAAGGTGATACTCAAGATTAACAATAAGTAAATGGGAAGGTAAGAAAGATAGAAAACACACAAGCACTCAACATTTTCTCAAATAAATAAGGCAAAAGTATAAAAATAACGGAACAATACCGAAAAGGGAAAAACAGAAAACCCCTATAACAGGGAAGGCACAGGCAGCATACTCGTAAAGATAAAAGAACCAACCTGATATATTATCTCATTCAGCTCATCCTTCAGTAGATGAATAAATAGTTCCGTGAGAAGACAATTCTTCACATTATCATAGCCCCCCTTGAGATTAATGCGGAAAAATGTATTTGCACGAGGATGTTTAAAAGTACTGTCAATCTTGTACCAGAACTTCATTATTGGCTCATCAAGTATGCATCTTGGCAGGTTGTAGTCTGATTTATCAGAGCGAATGGAGAAGTCAGTTGGTATGAAGTCATTCTTCAGAGGAAGCTGCAGTGAACTATCAATCTCGGGTGGATTACTCCACAGCTGCATTAAAGAAGGTGGAACCTGTTCCTCGGTGTATCGTGATCCAAACCAAGGTTCAAGTACGAAATCTGAAACAGATTGTGGAGTCATCAAGTTCTCGATAACAATATCTAGTACTAGTAGTTTCTAATATTCATCGAACTTCTTCGTAATACGATTCTGTCTTTATTATTATAAAGAAAAGTCAGGCAAAAAAAAAATTATTATTATTACCTTGTAAATTGGAGAATGACTTGGACACCACATCAACCCTCATGTTCTCTGGTTTGAAAAAACTAAGAATATTTCTTAGTTTCTCATCATCCCATATCTTGTAGACATAGTCCCCATAAATAACATGTTCAGCAGGATAAATGAGCAAGTTTTCTGAAACCAGAATTTAGATGTACATTCAATCAGAGACATACTTCATGCGCAAGCAGCAATTTATGACATATGAACCTCAAATTGACAAGTGAAGAACAAGTTCAACTAGAGAGAGCAGCTTTGCCTTTTGTAATATACACATGCATACCACGTCAACCGGTTATTACGCATTGCAAAACTAACAGCCTAATTGCATACATAATGGAATGCAAACCCTTTCAGATTACATTATTGCTTTAATGCTGGACAAGACGAATTTTGAATCTTTAATCTCACTAATATAAAAGTATGTTGCGGGGAAGAAAAACACTATAATAAATAAACGATATTAATGATATATTTAAACATAACAAAGAATAGTTAATAAAGCAAAACCTGCAAGATCCACTGCATAGTCATCTTGAGCCTGCTCCTCTACAAATCTGAATTCCATGTTTCCAATATTCTGTAGTTCCTTAAAGATCCATTCTTGTGGAGAAACTTCACGTAATAACTTCATATATTGATAAACAAGGCCAATAATCTCAAATATCTGGAAATGAAAGCCGTAGAAGCAACATTAGATGTCAGTGGAACCAGAGCAGGAGTAACAAGATTATAAGCATCAAGATGAAGTGCCGAGTTGTAGGTTTAGGAATGCATCAACAGAGGGAGAAAGACCCTTGGGAGAGAGTGGGTGGGGGCACATATTCATACAAATTTCTCTCAGCGAGAATTGGCATAGAAATAGATCATGTGGTCTCAGTAAGACTTGGTAGGCAGGATCAAGGTCCCTCTATAGGTTCAGGAACGGAAAACATTTAACTTTCAAATTCTGAAGCACATATCTTGCAGTGAAGGGATTGCACATATTGTTCACAAAAGTGAGAGCATATATTCCAAATAATAGCTTTGCACTTTCTGGAATGGTGCATCTGTAGAAAATCAGAGAAGATATAGGAAGAGATATAGACACTACCTTTTCCAACCCTGAGTCAGTCAGATGTATGGACATGCCAAATACATAGGCTATAGAAGATCGATTCAATCCTTCTTCCCCTACCCCAGCAGACAATGAAGTTGCCCATCCTCTAGCTTTCAAAAGAGAATGTAAACTTCCTCTGCCCTCTGCAAGGTATTAATTTTGTACAAGAACAAGAGACAAATGTTTCAAAATCTCGTACTAAGATTTAGCATAACAGATACAAATATGATCTAAAAATTACTGCAAAATCGAATAACACAAGGACACTTTAGATGGTAAGATTGAATAATTATAGGCATAGAGTCATGGTAAAATTGAACAATAACAGAGAAGCGAAACACAATTGTCCCACTTCAACACAGATTACGTTATTTAACTTTTTTGTTCTTCCCTTAGTTATGCAAGTGATGTTTTATCAGCAAACAGGAAGCTGGAATAAGTTTCAAATTCTAAAATGCCCATATTTCTTACTTACACCTGAAAGTTGTGCATATATTATGAACGAAGGCCTATGATCCACATGTAAAAATGATAATCTGAACAAGCATATAAAATGAACAGTTATCTTACCATGCCCCAACAGATGGGCCAGATAATCTTCAGACTTTTTCAGATAATCTTGGCGGAGACATGGTAGCGTCCAAATTAAATCGAGGATGTGAACATCTTTTACTGCCTCTAACCTAAAAATTTTACCAGCTTTCCAGATGGGACCTTCTACCTGAAAGGTAGGCTGTGCTCGAGGACCTTTCTTGACACTGGTAAATAATTCTGCAACCCAATCCTCCAAAACATCCAAAGACTCTGCAAAATTGGGAATTATAGTCAATGCCATTCAAATGTTGGTTTATGGCCAGAGTGTCCAACTACTAAGGGAATCATCATTAGAGGAGATAAGAGTTTTCTTTTATCCTGCAAGCTAAGGCAATTACAGAAATGTTCAAGTTTAAAGATAATTGCTTAACCTGTGCCAGAAATTATATTGTGACGGTAAAACAGGATAAACACTTATTAATAAGAAAAAAAAGTTGTAAGAAGAAACAATTCGCTCGGGGCAATATAAGTCACCAGAGTAAGTTGGATAGTGAACATAAGCCTGCAAATAAAGTTGTCAACACAAAAACACAAGAATTCATTTTGATAAATTATCTAGCAACTGTAATTCACTAATTTGAGTCTCAATACTAAGTTGTCTACCTATATCCCTTGCAGAAAATGTGCCAAGTAAAATCCTCATTACGAACTATATGTGGATTATGAAAAGAAGAGTGTAGGGAGAACCACTACAGGCAAAATCATACCTCCCCCAATGACAACAAGTTTCATAACTCCGCCATGATAGTACTCATTGTACATTTTTAGAATCTGTTCCCGCAAATCTACCCCTTTCTCCATAGCATCTACAAGACTCTTCTTGTTCCCTTTATGAGATACAAGGAAATACATATTATTCAGTCATATAGAACCAGAAACCTTAAACTAGATACAAAGTCCAATAATGCTTACCCCAAAAGAATTTGTTAAAAGGGTGTCCAGGTTCAGATGTATGACATTGGAGCTGTTGAAGTCGGCAAGCATCATTTTGCAAAACCTGATTAAATTCTGCATTCATTTTTATTCACGTGAGTGCCATACCAGCGTGAAAAAATGGTGTAATGAAACATGGACATGGTACAATGAGAAGTTACACTCACCTGAATCTACTGCAAGGACCTCTCTTTCCATGGCTTCAGCTTTTACAAGCGGAGAAATGAAAAACTGAGAAAACCTGATTGAAAAGATGAGAAGTAAATGTAATGAGCTAGCAACTTTAATGACTGCCACACAAATAGCAACGGATTGCCCAAGTGGAGAAAGTGGGCAGAAATATCCTTCAATCCCATGATCAAACCTTGGGAGCAAGACTTAAGCATATATCTGCTAAACCATGCTACTGGAATAAAATAGAGACAACTATTAGGCTGGGAGAATATCCAACCGTATATACCTCACCGTGGAAGCAACACATACTACTCAACGTTCAATTGAATAGCAACCTAACTTTGTGTATTTTAAAGAAGGCATCATTTGTTTATATGGTGAGATTGATAGGCAAGAACCAACCTTGGGGTCAACATTCAAAGCACAAAATAGACATTGATAGAGAGAAACAAAAGCAGGTTGCTTTATTTATTTTCCTACATGTCTCTTGATTCCAATAATAAGGAACACTGGTACTTTAATATGAAGAGCATTTGCACAGGCAATCATTAAGAAAGGCAGAAATAAAAGAAGAAAGATGCTATTTCATCCACATAAAATCTAAACAGTAAGAGTGGTGAAAAAGCTGGAATGCATTAAAAAATGGTTTAAAACCTGGTGTGGACTACTAGTCTGTTCAAGTCTTAAACTTCAACATTGGTAGAAAGATCCATGTCTTCACGAGCTCTAATCTCAGGATACAAGTGCGGAGACAGACTTAAAAACATATATGGAAGCATTATGACTATGAACCACAATCTCTACCTAGGAGTCACAAGTCAAATGGAGAACCAGGTTACTTCTTAAATTAATTCATCGGCAGGTTGATACATAGCAGCACGAAAGATGATGCATGAGTCGAGATAGAGGGACAGTATATTTGGCCTACGAAATTTTCAAGCATTTACCTTCTCAATGCACCGTTAAGAAACTCAGGCTTCACTTCAAAATGGTAACAGGTGTGCTCCGTTTCTGTGTATGCATTTGAACAACCCCCGTGCTTGGACAAATAACTATCATACTAGAAAAGCAAGAGTCAGATTGGGAGGACATATCAAGATCCAATTTCCCTAGAAGAGTAGGCTTGGAGGGGACATATCATGCTTCGATTTCCCAGAAAATAAGCTTATACATTATAAGAGAAAACAACAATTCCCTGAATCAAGATACTGTAATTCACAATGCTTACACATCATTGATATTATTACATATTTACATTTATTATCTTTAAATCAAAGATCATGGAAGCAATTTTGAATTGCAACAAATGGTTTGAGACTTCTCTTGTTTATTTTGGGTGTCTAGGGAAATTAAAAAAGAAAGAACAGAACTCTTCCCATTACCAACAGATTTCCCTTTTTTATACTTCCTTAAAGCACATGATTTTGAGGTGGCTATACCAGAAGCCAAAGTATTCTCTCTATCACTGACCAGAATAAATTTTGAACAAGGACAACACAGTCCACAAACCTCATTTTCGTCTGGAAATTCCGAACTCCCCATAAAGAGCATGTGTTCTGTTTAACAAAGAAATTTGCAGTTAAGGACAATGAACAATTAAGATGACAAAGAAACCCCTTTTTCTTTGCATTTTCAAGTAGATCCAGCAAATAAACCTAGCAAAAAACTTATCTTTCTGTTTCAACTATCACGGTAACTGGATGCCTCAACTAGATTACGAATTTCCAGCATGAACAAAAAATCAAACCAACTAAATTCTCCAATAGCTTCGATTCGAAGCCCGATTTCGAATGTCTTGCAAAAAAATTATCTCCTCTTTCAATTATCAGGATGACTGGATACTTCCACTATTATGATTTACCAAGTTGTATAAAAACCATAATAACTAAATTCTCCAATAACTCTGGCTCTGGGCTTAATTTCAAATTGCATAAGGCCAGAAGAAAATGAAAATACTTGATAAGAAGACCCTAGAATGTTGCAACAATCTCAGGTGAAGAGCAAAAAGGGAAATATGAGAGTACCTAGAAAGTGTGCCAGACCCTGTGCATTCTCAGGGTCAAGGAAGCTGCCCACACCAACACACATTGCTGCAGCTGCCTGCAACCAAATACTTCACTATGATCAAAATGCATTCAAACGGATATAAGCACATGGGAAAGCAGAACATAAAACATTCCCCTTCACACAGCTGCAGTGATGTCCATAGGTAACTATAGTAGCCAAAGCTGAAGATAGCATTGAAACGGGAAAACATTGAGTTGAATTTGGAGCAGGTCAACTAGAAAATCAGGAGACGGGAAGTAATCAACTAGAGTTCATAGTTCATCCTTCAATTTTCATTTGCTTAATACTTCCCATCAAATTAGATTCGAAGTTCTCCCATTGCCATAAGCGATCTATAACTGACCAACCTTCTTAGTCTGAGAATGTCCTCCCTTCCGCTTCCCTTTCCCTTCTTCTTCTTCATCATCATCCCCTTCTTCATCTTCATCTTCATCTTCATCTTCATCTTCATCTTCATCTTCACCTTCAACTTCAATATCAATTGCATCTTCATCATCATCATCATCGTCTTCCTCCTCATCACCATCATCGAACTCATCGTCCTCCGACATTGCCCTGACTCCATTGCCAAGGGTTTGGGAGTCCCCTTCTTCTCCAGGCTTAGAAGCTTCCCCATCGGGATAAATCTCAGGATCGTGGACAAGCAAAGCGCAGAGCCCATTATCCAGCTCGAGCACTCTGTACAATCGCCTGTCGTTGGGCGATTTTATCACGGTATCATCGGATTTGAACGTGCAGCGAGCCACCATCTCTGCGGATTTCCTTCCCCCAATCGCAACAGACGAAGAAGAGTTAAGAAGAGTGAACGAAAGGAATTTGCGATTGCAGATTCGTTGCTTCGTCGTCCTCTCTTCCTTTTCCCTCGCCCCGGTTAGGAAAGTGAAGCTTCTGTAGCTTACTACTGCTACTGATGCTCTTCCATTCGCAAACCTATTTGCAGTCGCCAAACTCCACGGCGAGCCGCATAGCATCTTTGGATTGGACCGGCCCACCCAAACTGAGCCCGCAACTTATCGCTGCTTGCTGCTCTGGTTAGTAGTTACTTCATACTTTTCAGTTATCCGGCCGATAAGGCCGGGCGCCAACGCCTATTGGCCACTGGATAGAGTAGTGGGGCCCGCCTGTTTCGTTTTTTTTTTCTTCTTATCGCTATCGAAACGAGTTACAGAGGACCAGAAACGTCAAAAATATGAAACGTTAAAAATAATAAACGTTTTGGATTATCAAAACGCACGATAAATTTTCGAGAAAGTTATCGGCTTATGGCAAAATACCGTGATAGTTTTGGAGACATATGGAATTTGTGAAATTTTATAATGTTATATAGTATTGGTGCTATAGGTTTTTGCTTTTGTGGTACAATTTAAAATTGTACATTTATGTTATGGTATAACTACAGATTGTACCTATACTGTTTGTATAAATTCTTTTATGGTACAACTTGAACTTGTACCTTTATGTGATGGTATAATTTCAAAATGTAAAGTTGTACCATAACATAATGATACAAATTGCTTTATGGTACAATCTAAACTTATACATTTAATGTTATGGTACAACTTTGAGTTTTACATTAAAACACCAATGCTATATAGCACAGTAGAAGTGCTCATGGAATTTGCCACTGTTGCTGACTTGCTGTCTTGCTGAGCGAGTTCTGCTGGTGTTGTCCGCCTCACTAAGCTCCGGTCAGGCTCAGGCGTGCATTCTTCTACTGAGATAACGTCGGAAATTAATCATCACTGGTGGAGGTTCCGTGATGAGAAGGCGTAACTTCCCCAAATTTGAAGCACTAAAATACCGCTCTTCGTAAACCCTAATTGATGGCGGAAGCAAGGGAGGAAGAAAATCGGCAAGCTTCTGGGGCTCTACCAATGGCTGCAGCATGCAAACCTGACAAAGATATATCCAGGTGGCTTATCGATTTCCTTGTTCGGCAACCGATTCCAGTGCATCTTCTCGAACAAGTCATCTCCAAATTGGGCGCCTCAGTCGTCGAGAGCGATTGGCGATTGAAGAAGATGCTGACTCTCAAGCAGCTCCAGTCAGGAATCTCAAATGGTTCCGTGTCTGAGGAGATGCTCGACTCGTTGGAGTTGGTAGAGCAATTGGACAGGGAAAGTGGAAATCCTATCCCGGAAACGATCAAAGCAGCTTACTGTGCGGTGGCATTGGAGTGCACTGCTAGAGGAACCTACTTCGACACGGTTCAGAGCATTTGGAGAGGAAGAATAGAGAATCTGGAGAAATTGGGGAGGACCGAGTTGCTTACCGACGAGCTGAAGAAGGTTAGGGATGATGTTGAGGCTGCTGTCTGGGATCCAAATGTTTTCAACAGAGTGTTGGAATCGGCTAAGGGGGAAAACGCTTCGAGTCTGGTTGAGGCTTACTTAGAAGAGGCAATGGCGGTGAATGGGCCTTCATTTCTGGAAATTGCCGCTAGAAGGGAGAGGGAGCTGAAAGCGAAGGCGCAATGCAGTGGCGAGAATAGAGAGGGCTTTCCCTGTGAGGTTGATGACGTGCAGGATTCAGGTGCTGAAGATGCTATGGATACTGAAGTAGCGCAAGTTCCTGATAGTGGCGTACAACCAATCTGCGGAGCACCATCTGCCGGTAAGCATTTTACTGTTGCTAATCAAAGGTGCAATTTGATGCACTTCATATATGAGAACTGAGATCGCGTAAATAGACGTACTTGTTAGTTTGCGGCTGTTCATTGTTAGTTCTGTAGAGGTGGCTAGAAGGCGTGAATTCATATGTAACATAAGCCAGGAACTGATCACCAATGCTACTTGTGAGAAGCAATCAAATGTGTTCTTTCTTTCTTCTATCTAGGATTCTGTTTACCTCTTCTATCTAGGATTCTGTTTACCTTAAGGATTGTAGACGAACTTGTTTATGTGTTTCCATTGTTGTTATTCCTATGGATTTGTGAATCTTGTATGTTCTCCCATATTGTTTATTGCAGATGGAAAGGTGAAGCGTAGAGTGAAACGTGCTGTTCCACGCAGACATTCAAGAAAACAAGGTAGGTTAGTAGCGGGTAACCCTACTAGAAAATATGATACCTTGTCTACTCCTGAAGTCAAGCGAGTACAAGATGCACTCCGATCCAGTACCACTGAGTTACAATCGGTGGTGACTGATCCACTGCCCGATGCTCTGCATCGCTCCCGGTTATTAATTGATGAAGCACCGCAAAACATAGAGATATCTGCCGGAAACCAGGGAGTTCCTGAATCCCACAGCAACAAGTCAAATCCTGATGTTCCATTAGACAAAGATGGTGCAGAACATGTTGAAGGACCCACACCCTCCATTGATGAGAGTACCAAAGAACTTTCCTCCAGGCATCAGAATGTTTCAAAACCAAGTTTAATGGTTAGGAATAAAACAGCTTGTACCTACGAGGTAAATGGTGTCTTCAAAGCATTCATTGTACTGACTTATCATTTTAGGTCACTACTATAGAGTTGTGAGTATAAAAAATCTCCATGTTTGTAGTGGGATGATTCGATTGATGGCTCTCCTGAAGAAACATCTAACGCTGATGAAAGAATTGTGCTAAGAAGCCCAAAGAAAGGGGTTGTGCTTCCATTACCAAAGGACGATGGCGGCAACAATTTGCCTAGGAGGAAAAAGAAGAGATGGAGTGTCGAGGAGGAAAATGCCCTGAGGGAGGGTGTCAATCAGTATGATTCATTCGACGTTTCTTCTTTCCTTTTTTTTTTTCTTTCTTGCTCATTAGACTCTTGACGATTGAGTTAATTTGATATCTGCTTCAATTGCTACAGATTTGGGAGGGGCCGCTGGAAAGTCATTTTGAACTCGAGACGAGAAGTATTTGTTGAGAGAAACGAGGTGATGTGCCTCCTAATTTGCTTCTGGATTCCAGGGCTTCGAAAACATAGTAATGTTTTGCTTTTGAATCTACCTTTGCAGGTTGATCTGAAGGACAAATGGAGAAACATGACGGCACATGAATGAGTTGATGCTAAAGCCTGCTTGAAGAAAGGCCTCACTTAGCAGTTTTTGTGTGTATAGTACTTTGCAGTGGAACTCTTGTGCATAGTCTTGTGAATGTCGTTTGCTTGGCTTCGAACTCTTTTAGTTGAACAGACGACTGACAAATGATCAAAGTAGGCTAACTTTGTCATGCTACTACTACTAGTCTATGTTACTTCTGCCAGCAAGGCTACATTCTGCTGGAAAATCCTTGAAACTCATCATTTGTACTTATATTATTATTGATATTATTCTACCAAGTTCTCATTTTACCAATATCAGAAACCAAATTTTCTGTAGTCACCGAAAGCACCATGATTTGACTGTCATCATTCTGCTTAGGGTAATTATGATGAACTCTGCAACTGATCCATCCGCTAATTTCTTCGAATCTGATCGGGAGTTGAAAACTCTGCCATTTGAACGAATCATGATCAAGAATTTTCTCATCACCAAGAAGGTTACGGCAGCCTAATCTGTCAGCATTTACCTCAAGACTCTGCTAACCACAGCTACGATTTCAAACTTTCTAGTGATCAATTTTCTCCAAAGGGTAATCATTTTGGCAGCATGTAACGAATCTTCCTTCTTCTAGTCATGTCACTCTCTCTTATCTTTGACCATTCAGACTCTGTTTTCTTGCAGCAGACTTGGTAGACTGATAATCGACTGTTCGAGCCGTGTAATAATATCCAGTTTTCACCATGCCTATATAAGAGTCTGTCAGGAGCTCAACTTGCAATATACAAACACACACAAGAATTGATACTTGCATATCGTTCTAAACATGGCCATGGCTAATGCTAACGTTGTCAAGGCAGCAGTGGGTACCCTGCTACTAGCCTGCAGCATGATCATGATAGTAGTCCCCTGCGCAAAAGCAGAGATCTCGTGCCTGCAGATAACCATGCAGCTGACTCCCTGCATCCCCTATGGCGTGCTTGGAGGGAGCGTGCCACCGGCCTGCTGCCAAGGGGTCAAGGATTCGATGGCGCTGGTGAATACGACAGAGGATCTTAGGGCGAAATGCCAGTGCGTTAAGGATGGTGCTGCTGGAATCCCTGGTATCAACTATACCAGGGTCAATGAACTCCCTAGCATATGTCACGTCACTGTGCCTTACGTCGTTAGCCCCGAAACCGACTGCTCTAAGTAACTAAACTCCATCCCTCCCTCCCTGCCCTTGATTGAGTTCCAGTACTCCTCGTCGTCGAGGTTTACGATTTCGAAGTTCTTGAGATTCTACTCATGGGAAGCTTTGTTTTGTTGCGTGCAGGTTAACTTTGCCGAAGTAGGGGGAGCCACCATTACCAGGCAGCTGAGGAGACTGGCAGTAGGGTTATATAATGGGGTGTGATTAATATTATGTAGAAGCCAATAATGGGGGGGGGGGGGGGGGGGGGGGGGGGAACAAAGAAAGTGATTGACAAGTTCCCCTGTGGAATGTTTATGAGCTACGCTGAGTAGTTCTTTTGTCTGAGCTAAGTAGTGATAGAATATGAATGGTCTACCATTGAAGAACGATGTAGCAGCAAGATATGTTATGTAAGCATTACTTTTCTAAAGTAAAAATAAAAAGCCCTATATATTTATGTTACGATAGAGTTCATTCGATCTTTTTGGGCTCTTGTTTGCCGGATTTGACGCATATTGACCAGTTCTACGTAACTCCACCTGTGTTTGCAAATGTGTACTCTTATATTTGTAAACCAATCATCGAGGAATTAATCTATAAAATCTTCACAGACTTGTTCCATCTGTCATTAGGGTTGCTGCCTGGTTTTTTAGGTTGTAATTTGTATGTTGCTAGTCTTCTGTTTCTGGCTTTCACTTTTGGTTTTAGTGCACGGACTGAAGGACTTCGTTGAATTTAATCCAATTATATAGATCCAAGTTAAGTTGTTTCCCTTCAACATGCTAGCCTAATACGAAATCTACAAATATCTATGACTGCGACTCCTTAACACTTGAGTATAAATAAATTTAAAGAAATTCTCAGTTGAAATGACTAAACTTTCGAAGTGCTTATATACAGAGACCTTAGGTCCCGAAGAAATAAATAATATAATATATGTGTAGATCTTGTTGTTGGTGTAATGCATATAAACGAGAAAGTTGATATGCTAAGCAAATCATGACAATCAGTTTTGTCGCAGTGTCGTTGAGCCGACCATGAAAAATCTTCAAATACGAATAAGGTCCTTGGTGAGTGTCGCACAACAACACATCTCATTCTGGTAATCAAGATTTAAGTCACAAACCACATGAACGACGTGATCTTGTTCGAGAATGGGAGGGTGCATTAATTAGATCTCATACATTCGGCTGTTGTTCGCCCTATTTGAACGTATATTGACCGGTTCTTTGTTAGCCTGCAAAAGCAGGCAGTCCTCGACAATGTAATTAACCTCGAGGAAGTGGACAGAGGAAAAACCTTGTCAGAGAATGAACGCACTTGCTCCATTTGTCGCAAGGATTGTTCGCTGGCCAATATGTTCGGTTGCAGGTTACGAATCTTTTCTTACAATATACCAAATGGCTAGAAATTAAATCATGCAAGAAGATAATCTATGACCATATCTTCCACACATTTGCATATATAAAGGCCAGGAGGATCGAGCTCTCAGAACATCCTCTCAAAGCAGAACTTGCTAGCTAGCCAAATTCCAACACCAATTTCAGAAATGGCGCCCATGACTAACTACCGCAACATCGTCAGCACAGTAATGGGCTCGCTGCTCGTAGCCTGCGCCCTGATCGTCGTAGCATCCCCTTACGGCGCAAAAGCAGAGATCTCATGCCAGCAGGTGGCCTCTCAGCTGGCTCCCTGCATCAACCACGTCTTGGTCGGAGGCGGGGTGTCGCCGGTCTGCTGCCAAGGGGTCAAGAAGGCGGCTACAGATGTGAAGACGTCGGCTGATCTCCGGGCGAGTTGCCAGTGCGTTAAGGACAGTACTGCAAGGTTCCCTGGCGTCAACTATGGCAGGGTTAATGAAGTTGCACCCAAATGTGGCACCTCCGTGCCTTACACTGTTAGCCCCAACCTTGATTGCTCCAAGTAAGTAGATTCCTCAACTCTGTTCCCTTGCTACTATATGGCTAGCTTGGAGAATCACAAGTTTCTTCTATTTGAGATTCTAATTTGGAACATATACATTGTTGTTGCAGATTAACTCTACCTAAGTAGGAGGTAGTTTGGCAAGTGAAAGCAGAGCAGAAACGGCACCAGTAACGGGATGGTTTTACGTGGCGAAGACAGTGATTTTATAGCAGAACAGATATGCATGTAGCATTACTTCTAAAATTTGACAAAAACATTTACTTATGTCCTCGTAATGTCTCTAAAAAGTTCTTGATGGGAGATCATTAGATTCGGATTTTGAGGTCGTACTCTGACGAGTCTAATATTTCAACCACTTAAATTACAGTAAACAGATCTCATCTTCTCCATTTGTAGTAACATGATGTTTGTTTGTGTGTGTGATTTATCAAACAATGGAAATTTATCATGCACGGAAGAAAGGATAACGGTTTGACGATTCAATCTAGAGGGACAAACTGTGGCATATGATGTTCAGTCTGTCAAAGGCAACTAAGCATCCCTGAAATATGTTTCATTTCTGCATACGTACGTGCCCTATCAGCTCACGCTACCCAGCTGAGCAAAAAGCCAAACGCACACTCACATCAGTCATATAACTCTTTGAATCTTCAAATCCATTACGACTACGACATGCCGTTGAATCTTCCAGCGGCACCGTCTCTGGTAACGTATATGTTCAGTTGATCATAACAGACTCAGGTCCTTTTTAATGGGTTTCTTGTTGGTTGCCGCAGACACTAATGCTGCAGAAACGATGTCGATGGCCTCTGGGCAAGTGAACAGCTCGATGCAGCCGAGAAGACCGCTGAGGATAAAAGGGCTGCCTGCCGGTGCATAATCGAAATTCTTGCAGGGATTCCGGGGCTCCATTACGACAGGGTGAATGAGCTTCCTGGAGTAATGCAGAATGACTAATTGTAGCGTGGTTTTGGTTCTGTTGTCAGACAGGGTAAACTACCCTAAGTCCGCATTGTATAAGGATTCAAAAGCAGTGGGAGTAAGCATATGATCTAGTTGTCCACTTCGTAATAAGTTGAATATATTCTGATGTGTTGAAATGCGTCGAATTTAAATGAACGGATCATGATTTATAGAAGATTTGAAAATGTTGTCATTGAGAGAAATGACGGATAGTTCAATCAATTTCGAGATGTATTTTCAATCTTCGTCCTTCGGACCCACACCCACAGCACCAAGCAACCCATGCTTGATGCTCCCACAGATGTCTTATCTTTAACACAAAGGCGGGACATTTGCACATGCAAGTTGCAAATGAACAAAACACCAGGCAAACAAGTTCTGGATTCTGAAATAGATCTATAGACTAACACACTAATAGACAGAAGATGGGACCATCCCAAATCAATCATAGAAATGAAACACATGACTCAGTTTAGTCTACAGAGAGATACAAAAAAAGAATCAGAGACAAGTTCATATTAGTAGCATCTCAAATCACCTACTCCTAATTGGGTTATGAGTTATGACCTTTCATCCCCATAACCTCCCTTCTTCCTATCATCATCCTCAATGGATACAAAACAAAATTCCACCATTACAACTGCTACAGACTCGAATAAACAACACCATGAGCTCTCCCCATCGAACCCCAAGAATAAACTAATTTTCGGAATTCGTCCTCCACACAACCAATCAAAATGAATATGAATTTTTTGACTATGGAAATCGAAAATTTACCCTGTTTGCTAATCGACTGGAGGTCAGTCTATAAACAATGATCTTACCACACAGGCAAAATGCCAGGAGAGGCAGCAACAACAAGTCAGAGAGATAGTCAGCAGCCAAGTCTGCGCTTCCATCAAAATGTAGAGCTACCTTCACTCGCAGATATCGTGGAGCCTTCAGACTTGATGATGTGGTTCAGCTGTATTCCTTTGCTACTGATGTCGAGCCCTTGAAATCGAGCCAGAGAGTCGTTTTGCATAGCATCAGAGAGATGGTGGGAGTTGGTTTGATGATGTCGCTGAGAGAAGGGTGGTAATTGCATGTTAGGATGGTCAGGCTGCCGAGGCATTGGGAAGAAGTTCGATGGTGTGTAAGACATTTGATGCATTCCCATGTTGAATGATTCGGAGTGACTGGTGGCTTCTCCAGTGGCGACTTTTAGCCTCTCGACTTCCTTCTTCAGTGCGTCATTCAAAGCTGTAAGATATAACCAAGGAAACAATATGATTACAGCCCATCCCTAGTTTTCTATAGTTCTGCAATCATAACCACACAAAAGAGACTTACCATCGCGCAAGTGAGCCTGTTGTTCCATAGCTTGTAATCGAAGCTTAAGCTCTGTGTTTTCTGTACTCAGACCCGATGTGTCCCTCTAAGAATAAAAAGACTGCAAATCAATATTGCAGCAAATGCCAAAAGGACTAGCACAGCTATGCCAGCGAACAATAAAGTAGCAATTTTAACAAGTGGAGACAATAATTATTTCAATAGAAACAGCAGAACACCTTTGATGTTGCATCCTGAATATTTTTAATTCCATACAAGATCCGTATTGAGCTTTAATGATAAGAAGCACAAACCTGGAACAGAGTGAGCTGAGCAGAGAGAGTGGTGGCTTCTGTTTGAAGAGTCTGAACTTTGCGTTCTAGTTCTATTATGTAACGCGCCTTTCTCTCTTTTGAGCGAGCAGCAGATTGTCTGTTTGCAAGTATCCTGTAAATGCACAAGGCCAGGGTTGTTAAGATAGGCACAACAATAGAAAAGGCTGAGATCAATACAAATGTACCAACAAATAACATTTTACTATACCAACTATGATTCTGGTACAGAGGTTTGGATGTGGATCTGAAACACTTAAATTGATAACTTAAACCCCTAGCCTCTAGATAAAATCAGAAAACCAGGGACAACAGTTGACTTCGAACGAATCTGAATTAAGGCATAGATCATGGGTATGCCTGATTGGAGACTATCTCTAATGAAACAAGAAGTTACACATCTCAATTTACCATGGGTACTTAAAGCTTCACATCTACTTCACAGAGGGACCTATGTGGCTCTTAACTGTCACAACTGAGAGGTACTTTCTACCGTTTTCTCCTAGTAAGTATCAATGGCACTTATTGTTAACAGCTTAAAGGTTGAAAGGAAATTCAGGGAAAGCTGTTGAGACTCTATAAGAAAAACGACAAATGAAGCCTCGAGGATAATCTTTGCCAATGATTAAGTAAGGTCATCAATGTTCCTGTGCCATACAGTGAAAAAACAATAGGGAATGCTGAAGCAATGCTTTCTCCAATTTTTATTAACTGAATTCAACATAGTTTCATAAAAAAGAAAAGATATAGGAAGCATAAGGAGCTTCTCGGGCGTGTTCTCATTCTACAAATGTCAGGCTAATCGGTTTAAGTCCTGTGAAATTCCTGCAAGTCTTAAGCAGGGAAATTGATAAACACATTCATAAGGAACTCTGTAATTTCAAGTGATAAGAGCATTCTTTGGTTAGTTACAGAAATACATCTTCACCAAACTTAACAAGCATTCTTTTGTTAGTTATATGTTGGAAGTACACTAAATTTGCATTAGTATATCAAAATGCCGCCATCAACACCAAGATCAGGCAGATTTCAACATCAGAGTCAAATTCTTCGAGTACATTTTGCTGGTAATATAGCTTGTAAATCAATCAATCTTTTTAACAAACCACCCAACCCAATACACTACCAGCTGAGATGCAATTGATCTCGGTAGATCCCATCACATGTCGCTAATGAAACCAACCAAGCTAGATGCTTAATCTATGTAGCTCAGGAAATGAGATCATGGCAGAGGAATCACCATTGTGCCTTAGTTAACTTCTGGCACAAGCTAAATTGACAAGTTTGAAAAAATGAGAAATTTGAACTGTAGAAAATCATAGAAGCAATGAAATGTGCATCGAAATCTACTGCGAATGCGTAGAGATCTAAGTGGGAAATGTCGGATGTGATGTGAATCGATAGCAACAAGAAAAGAGAGAATGAAATTGGGAAGAAGCTGACCTCTTAGCTCGTTTGGGATCAAGGTTCCAGAGCTCAGCTAGCTTATCAGGAGGCATAGCCTTCTTAGCGTCCATTATCTCTCCAAACACACCACTGCCGTCCACTGAATTGCTGTGGCGGTGCTTCGTAATCGGCCTGTTCGAAGCTCCTTTCTCCCCTCCCCCTCCAGCGCCGTTGCTCTGATCCGCACAATTGCCCACACCATTGGCACCACCGCCACTTCCGCCGCCGGTCAGCTTGTCGACGTCAATGTAGGTGGAGAAGAGGTCGTCCTCGGATCCGATCTCGTCGAGGCTACAAGTCGAAGATCCGCCGCCGCCGGCGGGGTTCATTGGATCGGTAGGGGACAGATCCATCATCATCATGGTCATGTCGTCCGGGAAGCGGAAGCTCATCTCGGAGAGAGCCCTCCGGTGGTGGGGCCCGCTCGCGGGCGGAGCAATAGGACGCGCATTGAAGATTGGGGAGGAATTGGAGTTTGCGGCCGGTGCCGGCGACGGAGGAGGATGGTGGTGACTGCTGGAGGGCGACGGCGGTACATTGGGATTGGATTTGGAGAGTGGATCTGGAGCGTCCATCGTCTAGTGTCTTTCCTTGTCTCTGGGAGTCTCGTGGGGGATGGGAGATAGAGAGAAGAGAGAGAGAGAGAGGAACAGAGAGCGAGTATTGGGGGAGATGAGAGAAGACAGAAGAGAGAGTGTTTTGTTCTTCACGAGGATCTGCTAATACTAAATATTTTTAAATTATCTTCTCCAAATGGATTGCCAATCCATTTGCCATAGCTAATTAGGGGGTGATTTATTACTTTATTGTTGTTTTGAAGAAGGATGATGGAGCATCTAATTTGGTTTGATTCAATGAACGAATTTGCACTTAGCACATGATGGAAAGTAGAGGAGGAAGTAGGCATCATGATTATGAGATTAGAAATAATGAGAGTAAATATCACTTG